TACCACACAAACCAACAGATGAGAGTAAAGAGGCATTCAAAAGAGAGACGGATAATAAACTGAAATATGAAGCAAAAAGAATAGTACTGATACGGAAGAACCATAGCATAGTGAATGCATCTGCGTCAGCCATTGGCAATGATTTTGAGCCATATCACCAATTGTCTCCAGCCATTCGTGTTTACCGTCCCAAGAACCCCAACCAGGAAGTCTACATCTTCCTAACAGGCTGGCTAGCTTAAACTAACTGATGTGGATTTCATTGACTGATGAAGCCATGTTTTGGTTTGACCACCGCTAGCTCTTTTCCAGCCTGACCCTATTTCAGCTAACATTTCTTGTCGGGCAAGGCGATGGCTAGGCATACGTAATACATGTCCTAACCATTTCAGTCGATGTAGCTTCACAGCCTCGTCACTGATTGATTTCCCGTTTTACCTAGCACTCGACGCCTAACCTCACTATTACAACCATGTTGAAGAAACTCATGTCCCTTCTGAGATTCGAACTCGCGTCACCCAGTGTTGCCCGCAGTCAACGATACTACCACTGAGTTATTCACGCTCACGATTCACCTCCTGTAGGACTGTATTGGATACTTTGATTGGACACAAGTAACTAACTAACTAGTGTGATGAGCTTATTCCTTTGTGTGGTGCAGACTGAATTCTATCAGTCAGTCAAATTCGCAATGTGGTCACCCCATTCTAAGTAGCTCGCCATCACGGTGCACACTGACTTGACGAGAATAGATGGATGGAGGCAATCAACAGGAAGCTGATACAGCCACTAAAGTCTTACAGGTCAATCGCGAGCTCAAATAGCTCAGTGGCGGTCACATTTCTGACTGTAGGAAGCACTGAGTGACGCGGGTTCGAATCTCAGAAGGGACACGAGTTTCTTCCTAACGAGTGCCAACTAGCACGAAACTTAGGTCAGGTACGCACCTGACTGACAGAACTCAGTCTACACCAAAGAAAGGATTAGACACATCACACTAGTTACTAGTGTCCAATCAAACAATAGATAGTGTTTACACAAAATCATCCAGAAAAATTTCAAAAATCACAAAGAATTTTTCACAAATCAGAAGTGCACATCACATGAAATGGAATCCAAATTGTCTGAATAGGCTCGAGAGATTAAGACAACATTTGATCTGAATTTAATTGGTGGATGGTGAATAGCAGCAGAACACAGGATGCGCATTTCGTCCTACTTTGAACTCGTCATCTGGATGTACCTGCATTACCCAGTGTGTGATGATGTTTCCACCGAGGCTCGAATCCAGTGTCCATAGCTTCCAACACCAAAGCGTTATCCACTAGACCATTTGAACCACAAGAGCTGCCTACCTCTTGTGCAACGGGTCATATTAATTATTCATCATCACTCACTGGGAAATGCAGGTACATCCATTAACTGACGAGCCCCAAAAATAGGACCAAATGCGCATTATCCTGGATTCCATTGGTAGTCACCATCCACCGATTATATTCTAATTACATGCCCAGACATAGTCTAAGCATCTGCACAAGAAGCTAACAGACATGTCAACCGGAGACCGAGCACTTCCGTCCAATGAATCAACCGACGGGAAAATCTAAAATTCAATTGAATAACATTTGATCTGGTTCAAACGACTCCCCCTCCCACCAGACGCTCTGCAACCCTCAATGAATTGATAACATCAACACAAAATACGATAAACAATTTCATGATGTAAACACATGCTGTTTTTATAATTTCATGTATATATATATCTTTCATCAAATTCAACAATCTGAAGCACATGACTGTGTTACCTCTTTACCCATTCAATAACCACTTGATAACGCAGAAAAAACAAACAAAAAATTACCTCATGCTGAAGAACTACAATTAAGCACATTATATATTCAATGAAGAGACTGTTAGCAAGAAATTTACTGCCAATCTGTACAATCGTGTATATATGTGTATAGGTATGGCTTGTTACGAAACTATATTTACCCCGTGAGGAAATTTGAACAAACAGTTTGAATACTTAAAAAAGTAATAATAATCATAATAATATTTTGAAATGTGATTAAAATGTTTTTCTGATTATAGTCATAGTTAAATATATATTGTGATAAAACACATAATCATGTGGTGTGTACTACTGACAAGATTTATCAGTAGTATATAGACGCAGGCTGACAGAAAGCAGCCACAAGTCAATGCCTGCAGAAGCACAACAAGTGTTTATTCCTCAAATCTGGATTTGACAGTTTATGTTACGGTCAAGAAATAATCTTATTGGACAACTCTTTATCTCAAGGTTTGACCTTCAGAAAATCGCCAGCCAATAAGAACCGTCTATTAACTGACGATTGACAGGGATATCCTGGACCGACGTGAAGAACCTAGAAGACCTGGATTTCGAGGATGATTTATATTTGATGTCACTCAAAATCGAAGACTTACAAGCAAAAACCAACAAACTGGTCGAAGAAACAGCAAAGACAGCACTGACTCCAGGTGAACATAGACAAGACGGAGGTTATGAAAATAACCAACCAACAACAACAACAGCAGCAGCAACATCCAGTGCCAATCACCATCAACGGGAGGGATTTGAAATAGGTTGCTTCATTCACTTATCCAGGGATCATTGTCTCAACTACAGGAGGAACGGACGAGGATGTCAAATGGCGAATCGGGAAGGCGAGAAACACATTCATCCACCTGAAACCAATCTGGAAATCTTCGTCACTCAGCCAGCATCAACAACAAAATTCGAATTTTCAATACAAACGTCAAGTCAGTCAGTTCTTCTATACGGATGGATCAGAAACTTGGCGGGTCACAAAGAATATTTCCAACAGCCTGTTGCACACCTTTATCAATAACAACTGTCTTCGCTTTATATACTGAAGATCAAATGGCCGGAAAGAATCACCAACAAGAAACTATGGGGACAAACAAACAAAACAAGAACCAATGGCCCAACAAATATGCAGGAGAAAGTGGAGATGGATTGGACACTCGCTGAGGAGGCCGTTGGGTGACATCGCGAGTCAGGCCAACGCTCGAGTGGAACCCGAAAGAGAAGCGGCTAGTGGGACGTCCAAGGGTGACATGGAGGAGATTGTGTGAAGAAGAGTTGAAACAGTATGGACTAACATGGATGCAAGTGAAAAGTACAGCAGAAGACAGAAGCAAGTGGAGACGTGTAGTTGAAGCCCTATGTTCCACTAGGAACCCAAGGGAACCATCATAACAATAATTATAATAATTAACCGACGATTACAAATGTATATTGTATAAATAATATGGGGCGTTTTCCTAAGTAAAAACAGATCGTTACCAAGTCTTTTGTCTTCTCGTGTTACAATCTCACATAGAGAATAGTTCATACGATGCATAAATGACTGACTAACTGGTTTCAACATACAAATTTGCACAGATGTGCACCTGTTCAACTTGCCACACTCCCTTTATGTACCATACAAACCAACAGAAGAGAGCAAGGATAGATTCAAAAGAGAGAGACAGATAATAAACAGAAATATGAGGCAAAAAGAATAGCAGTAATATGAAAGAACAATCGAGTTTTATTGGATATAAAAACAAATCACGAAGAGTGAATGCATCTGCACCATCCATTGAGAACGATTTTTAGCCATATCACCACCAATTGTCTCCAGCCTTCATTGGTTCTCATCATCCCGAATACCCTGACCAACTGCCAACCAGTTTACACCTCCCTAGGTGACTGGCTGGCGCATGTCCTAACCATCTCACTCAATCGGTGTAACTTTACAACATCGTCGCTGATTGATTTTCCCACCCACCTACCTAGCACTCCACCGATGCATAACCTCAATATTGCTCACCTTATTATACCGTCTAACATGGGATGCAGATAGGACGCGGACACTTATGATCACAGACAGTCAGCCAGCCGGCCTTTTCATGTCATCCACTTTCAATGACTATTTCTCACTCACCGCCATAAAGGAGAAACTAGCCGACTGCTAAGCAGTGCACACACCCTTTGGTCGATAGCTTTTAGTCTAATCGCTATCCTAAAAATTTTCCTGGTAGGGTAAGACCTACAAAGGAATATTAGTTCCAGCCACCCGACCACCACGTCAACGTAGCAGCTGTCGATCAGGGGATGCATAAATGTTGATAAGGGGTGTAAAATGAATAAGATTAGTGGGCAATAAAAACATTACGTAACGCGGTGAAAGAAGTTTGATAAGATAGGGTTCAAAATTTCAAATTTACACCTCATGGGATATAATTTCTTAAAAAAATATACACATATATATGTATATGTGTGTATATAAGCCTTTTAAGAAGAGAAACGTCGTTTTGTTTGTTCATTCATTGAGAAATATAAAAAATGCTATAACAGATAATGTCAGCCCATTAGTCAATTAAATTTAGGAAGGACACGACAACCAAGAATAGCTATTATTGAGATGAGAGGGTGAGAGAGAGGGGGGGCGAAGAGACGAGCTAAAACAAAACTCATTTTTACGCTATTTATGTATACAAACAATTACAGACTTCAGATTGTGTTTGTTTTGTGCTGTAGAGATTTGCAAAATAATTTCAATGACCTAATGATCTGAAGGTTCAAGGTGCAAATTTTGGTGTGGCAGTGGGTGAGCATTGTTGAGGAGCTGCAAACCAGGGTGAAACAAGTGTTCAATAAATACGCCCAAGTCTGTACATCAGCCACGCACATGATCCGGCGTTCGATTCCCGGAAACCGACTCACTCCTACACCTCGTCTAACCACAAGTAAAAACCCACCCGATAGAGTGTGGAAGGTTAAGTGGTTAAGTGTCAGGCTGGCAGCCCCAGACTGTACACAGATGCTACTGAAACTTAAAAAACCTTCAAAAGCTTGAAGCCCAATGACTCCAGAGACTAGTCGGAAAGAGTGAAAACGAAAACAACCATAATTAATGCAACATTACATAACTATTTTTTAAAAAAAAACACAACTGCGAACAACTTACCTTTCTAAAGTATTTAATAAATTCTCAGCTGCTTTATACGTCGCATCATCATCACCATCCATAAAATCATCGAATAGATGAGTGCTGTATGAACTATTTACAGGTAATCCAGATATACTACTAGTCAATTGAGTAGTATTATTATTATTAAAGTAATTAGGATTATTTGTTGCTTTTGGGTTTGTCGTTGTTGAATCAGCTAACAGGTCATCACTACTGCCAACACCATTAGGAGTAGTGGCATTACTGGTGCCAAGACTGAAATTCACTCGCTCAGCATTCAAAGGATTATTGATTAAATAATTCCGTAGAACAGTGATCAATTCGATTAAACAATGCGCTGCTGACTCATGCATCTATATTACATATATTCATTACATCAAAAGAAGACAAAACGCAGCAAAGCAATGGATTAGGAATGGATAACAGATTATTAATTTTATTATTACTATTTAAACGACATACAATAAAAGCGATATACCATGGAGCAAAAATGGGGGCTGATGGTACCCGTTAGGGCTGATCTCTGAAGAAATCTCAGTACGGATACAAAGGGCTAGTTTTGCGTATGCCAGTTTACGCCGTCTATGGGTTGGTAGACGTGATATCCAGCTACTGACCAAAGGGCGGGTGTACTGCTCAACAGTCCGCTCCGTCCTCCTTTATGGCTGTGAGACCTGGCCATTGAGAGTGGAAGGCATGAAAAGATTAGCTGTCTCGATCATAGGTGCCTGCTTTCTATCTCCCGTGTGAAGTGGTATAATAAGGTGAGCAATATTGAGGTTAGGCGTCGAGTGCTAGGTAGGTGGGAGGGGAAATCAGTCGACCAGGCTGTGAAATTACATCTATTGAGATGGTTAGGACATGTGTTACGTATCCCTAGTCATCGCCTTACTCGACAATGGGCAATGTTAGCTGACACAGGATGGTTTAAGCTGGAAAAGAGCTAGCGGCGGTCAAACCAAAACATGGCACCAGTCAATGAAATCTACAACAGTTAGTTTAAGCCAGCCAGCCACGTAGGAAGGTGTAGACTTGCAATTAAAAGTGTTCTCTGAGCTGGTTGGTTTAGACAGACTAAGTCTGTCTGTCTGTTTTTGACATAGAACTTTGCATCGATGTGCAGCAGTTCGAGTCGCCACATTCCCTCCATGTAGCACACAAACCAAGGGAAGAAAATAGAAGAAATGCATAATATAGTCAGTAAACAGAGGTGTGAGACAAAGGAATAGTAATAACGAAGAACAATATAGTTTCATTGGAAATCATAAGTCACAAAGAGTGGATGCATCTGCACCAGTGAGAACGATTTTGGGCCATATCACCAATTGTTACCAACCATTGGGTTTTACCGTCCCGAGGACCCCAACCAGTCAGGAAGTCTACACCTTTATACGTGGCTTAGACGAACTATTGTGGATTTCATTGACTGGTGCCATGTTTTCGTTTGACCACCACGTGCTAGCTCTTTTCCAGTCTGACCTTATATCAGCTAACATTGCCCGTCGAGGAAGGCGATAACTAGGCAAACGTAACACATGTCCTAACCATCTCAGTCGATGTAATTTCACAGCCTCGTCTGCCTCAGATGTGATATCCGAATGACTATCGACGAAAGGACGAGTTCTCTCCGTTTTACTGTATGGCTGTGAGACATGACTTTTGAAAGTGGAAGATACGAAAATATGCTAACCGTCTTTCAACACAGGTGTCTCCCATGTTGGGTGGTGGTATAATAAAATGAGTAATACTGAGGTTAGACATCAAGCGTTAGATAAGGATAGAAAGTCAATCGATGGGCTTGTGAAGTTAAATCGATTGAGGTAGCTAGGCATGCTTAGCCATCGCCTTTCTCGACAGGCGATGTTTGCCAACATAGGATGGATCAAGTTGGAAAAGAGCTAGTAATTTAAGCCAGCCAGCCACGTATGGAACTGTAGACTACCCGACTAGTTGGGATCCTCGAGATGGTAAGAACCAATGACACCTGGAGACTAATTGGTGTGATATGGCTCAAAATCGTTCTCAATGACTAGCACTGATGCATTCACTCTTTGTGATTTATCATATCCAATAAAATTCTTATTGTTCTTCCGTATTACTACAATTCTTTTCGCCTCGTGTTTCTGTTTATTATCTCTCCTTACTCTCTTCTGTTGGTTTGTGTGGTATGTGTAAGAAGTGTGGCAACTCGAACTGGTGCACATCTGTGCAAAGTAGTTCTACGTTGAAACCAGTCAATCAATCGGTCACTTTACCAAGCAACCAGTGTAGTCATATTTAAGCGGATATCAAAATTAAGCAAAACCCGGCTTTATTTAAAGAACCACTAAAAACCAGCAGGGAGTAACTCTGAACAGCTTTGTTTCTCATCCTTGTTTTTGCTACTCTCCAGCAGTGCGCACTCATGATCCCTCCCCCCACCCCATCCACGAGGGATCAAACGCAGGATCGTCAAATTCAAAGACGAATTCGATAACCATTTAGCCATTGAGACGGAATCCAACAGCCTGTGAACTCTAACTTCTACCAATTTGTAACATGATACCATGACCTCCAGCCAACGGTCCATCCGTAAGTATTCACGCTGCTCATATACGAACTGATGGACGACTTCATTTGTTACAACTTCTCTCACTAGAAAACTTCAGATAAAACTTCATCCTGTAGTCAGTGAGTCAATCATCACTCACTCACTACTGAGCACAGAAATATTTCTCAGGTGTGTTGATTTGCAGGGATTTGATTGATTTGAAATTACATTATGGGTTCATGATTTAGCAATAGATGAGTACCGATGAAGAGTCCCAAACCAGGACGAAACAGATGACTGGTTTTTTCAATGGTTCTTTAATACTGATGCATCATTTCGTGAACAAAGCTTGAAATTAATCAAATCTCGGGTGAAAGCAACACCAGATATGCTGAGAAGAAGTAGAATGACTTGACAAACACGACTATATATCACCATTTTATGTTAATTTTAGAAAGGGAGGGAAAAGACAGGAGAAATTGTAACATGTTCGCCACAGTGATTACGGTTCTCGGTTATATCTAGTAACCTTAACTCTCCACTTCGATCAGAGAAATACTTTCATGTTTTTTACCCACCCACCTCCATTAAACGACGTGGTACAGCTAAGAGAGTGGATAGATACTTCGGTCATCCTCCCTCGAAATGCTCTCACATGTGACTACACTTTCATAGCCTACCTCTGCCAGCCAGGTAAGTCCTATTCCACTGACTTTACACCAGCTGGGATGTTTCTCACAAAAGTGAAAGAGCGAATTCGAACGTCTGGCGCCTACACAACTGAGCTGGTGGAAGCTGGAGAACCCTGATTGCAAACCTGCGGTGCACATGGGCTTCAGAATCCAAAAAACGATCTAACGGTGTATAAACCTGTTTTTGGTCAACGGAAACCATGGAAAAGTAGCTCCTCAGACTGCTCTACTCAAAGGCACAGCGGAGGGTAGTGCCCCCCCCCCACCTTAAGACAACCACTTGATTCGGTCTGGACGTTCGGGTAGTATCCCAACCCTCGCACAAACTATGAGACAACAATTTCATCTTATGCCCAAAATGGACCAGATTTTTTTTATTTAATTCAATTTGGATTTTTGCGTTGATTGTTTGGACCGAAGTGTTCGGCTTCATAGTCGGCACGTCAGCTCCCTGGGCAGATAATGATGTTCGAAGATGTCTGGTTATTTATTTTAAGTCGAAGTAATCTCGTGGATGGTGACTAGCACTGGAATCCAGGAGGGGGCACATTTCTTCCAGGACGCTTTGACCTTTGAAACTAGAAGGACTGGATTCGAGCCTCAACGGGAACACCACCACTCTCACTAGGGGATGCAGATACATCCAGATGACAAGTCCCAAAAGGGGGCGAAATGCACATTTTGGTGGATTCTGCTGTTAGTCACCATCCACCACAAAGTACCAAGTCTTTGTTTTGACCCATCTAAATGTATATTGTGGTCATTCCTAATTATCGTTTCAAATATCTGAAAAACATCTCACGCCACTGATTCGAATGATCTGTCGAAGGTGTCATACACCAACTGATGTCAACTTCATACAAACTTTCCTTCATTTCACAATGATGCTTCATGGACTGACTAGGCTTTTGCTTATATTCAATCCAGTATTCCAAAATGTCCAAACACACACTGAAGGTCCTTAGAATGAATGACATTATGACGACGCCACACAGGATGTAAGCCAACTCTAAAAGGGCAGCGATCATTGAAGCATTGTAACCCAAACCTCCGACAACTAGGTCGGCTTCATGATGGCAACAAAAGTGCCCAGAGTTGACGTATGCCACCACCTCTCATTCATTACATCTCCTTCAGAAACCTACACAACTACCTACAATATACGAAATTATAAACAACTTTAGGTGAACACCTATCTGGTGCTTATAACCGAACTGGTGGTGGACATGAAAATCCACCTATATATATGACGCTTATAGACTCCAGAATCCGGAAGGAGGATCCAATGGCTTATGAACTTTACTTCGGACACCAGTAACCTTGGGAATACAGCTCCTGACGCTGCTCTACTGCCTTATGGTTTTAAATCCAACCTTTTTGATGTAGTTGTGTTCTCTGAGCTAGCTGGATGGTTTATTTGCGAAGCTTTCATTGACCCCTAATAGGCAACATCTTCAGCGCATACTTCAATTTTCCACAAGTCTATTAGTCATCTCATCTGGTGGGTGACCTTGAAAGTGATTGGTTGTTTTTCTGTTTTTTCACACCATCTAGTCTACTTGTATTGGTACTGATTGTTTCCTTGACTTGAACTTTGACCTTTTGTGTGTGAGATTCCCTTTTTATCGATTGTAAATTTTGTCTATCTCATTGTGTCTATTGTAATTGACGATTCACTGGAATACTAGGCTGGCTTCTAAAAATTCTCTAGCATTCTTGTTGTTTCCTCTGTCTAATATTTGAACGTTGGTTGTCCCAGTTGAATTGATGTCCGTGGTTGTCTGTATGCAGTGATATGAGGGAGTGGATGTCATGTCTTTTGACGGCTAGCTTATGATCTTGGATACGAAGACGAAGAGGATGTCATCCACTTTTGCCAATGTAGTGTTTTTCGCAGTTGTTACAATTTATTTTATAGATGATGTTGGTTTTATCTTCTTTCGTTGTTAAGTCTTTTGGTTGACACAGATGAGTGAAGTGATTTTGTTGGTTTGTGTGTGACGTCAATTCCTTAAGGTTTGAAGAATCTAGTAGTGATTTCTGAGATGTCCTTTATATATGGTAGGGCGATTTTCTTTGTGCTTTTCTTTGGGACTCTTTGATTTGGTAGGTTGGCTTGGGGTTATATGTC